GAAAAAATAAAAAGTTACATTGCAGTATAAATGCTATTTTTGAAGTCAAACTAAATGTATATTTGATATGTTTTAAGTTTTTTCTTTTTATTTTTCTGTTTTTTTATTTCTTTATAAATATCCTCACCTTCACCATAGTAACTTGACGGTTTATATTCTTGATTATTATCTGAGTCTTGATGATATTGAGAATTAAGTTGATTTTTTTGATTATTTAATGAAAGTATATCAAATAAAGGTATTAAATTATTCAAGTCGTCCTTTTTATTTCCTAATTTTGCAAAATTTTTCTTTTTATTGTAACTTAAGATATGATGTTTTAATATTCCTCTCATTTCAGTAATATTGGTATCGGTACCTTCCAGAAAAACTATTCGTGGCTTTTCTTCGTCTACTTTGATCCAAGGTGGAATAATTGGTTGATATACATGGTTTTTATAATAAGGTTTTAACTTCAAACGCTTTTCAACAAGACTTAAAAACTTTACTAAATTCTTATCTTCTCTGTAATTAAGTTTATTTGTTTCAACTGGTGATTCAGAAGGAATCGTATTTGGGGTTGCTTTTTCTTCTGATTTAACAAATGTGGCTTGCAAAACATCTTTGTTGTTTTCTAACATATTATGGACTCTCTCCAATCCTGATGAATGAGGTATATCATCATCGTTTTTTAAAAAATGCTTATTGGGTTTTTTTAAGCCAAGCTCTTCAATATCCTCCCCGTCATTTTTTGCTTCAACTAAAACAACTTCGTCGTTTTTGTCCTCTGAATCTTTAGTACTAGTGACATTAATTAACTTTTCGACACACCCAGGGTCACTGATACAATTTTCTGTTAAAAATTTTGGAACCAAATTTTTGGATTTTTTAATTTCTGTATCGTTTTTTACATCTAGTGAGTTAACTGTGGGTATTTTATTGCTGTAAAATTTTGACTCGTTTGACGTGTTAACATTGCTTAATATTAAAGGAAACGGAGTAGGTTGAAAATTTTTTTCTTGAACACTTTTATATGTCTCATTTTTTTGTAAGATTAGGTTAGTTTCGTTTTCCCATTGGTTGTTTTCATTATTAGATTTTGTATTCACCTTTTCTAAGACAATCTCAATTGTTGTTATTCGATCATTGCTTTTTTTTATACTATTTTTATCTTTGTTTATAGTTGGTTTATCATTATTTAGAAAACTAGAAATCAGCAAACTTTTTTCGTTTTTATAGTCTTTATTTGCATACACAGTTTTGCTATTAGAATCGATATCTTGAAAGCTGTACGATGTGTTTGATGTATTGCTCTCAACTAAACGAGCAGAAGGTTTTGTGTCGATAAATAAAGCTGAAACCTGATTTGAAGAGTCTCCTTCTTTTGATTTGCTTTTTTTGTCAGAATTTTTTGATGAGTTTATATTTTTAACTATAAAAGTATTATCTAATAAAAAAGGCTTCGGCTTGAGTATCTCCAATGTAGCTTTATTAAATGTGTTGTTAAAAGAACCGGCTATATCAGGCGCTCTGTTATTTGCGTGATTATCTTCGTTTGCCTCAGCTATTTCTTGAACCATTAAAGAAGGCATGTCAAGAAGTGCAGAAAGAAGTGTTTCTTGTTTTTTCACCTCAGCGGATGTTTTTGCATCTTGATTCTGAAACAACGCCCTAAATTTACTTAAAACTTTGTTATAGTTATTATACTTTTTTCTACTAATTTTCTCAAAATTATTCTTGTTTTTGAATACTGGAATTGATGTTGGAGTTGGGTTACCCGGAGGACGCTTAACTTTCTTATTAATAAAAGAAGATAAAGAAGATTGTTCGAGTGTTTTAATTTTGGTTGAAAAACCCATTTTTGAATTGGAGCTCTTAGTTGGATCAATTTTTATTTGTTGATACTCCGAAGGAATACTTTTAATTTTAGTAACGTAAACTTCGTTTCTAACAGGTTTAGTTATAAGAAACTGAGAAAATGTTGTTTTCAAAGAGTAATTTGATAAGGGATGTGCACGAGTTGGTTTTAAATCATCGTTCATTTGAAGTTCAGTTAAAGCTAAAATTAAAAAAGATTTTAAATAAAAAAGTTTTACACAGGTTTTTACTTATGTTTAAACTAATTTTTACTATATATGTAAAAATATTCAAAACTTACGTATACAAATATTTGCTATCTGTCGATGTCCTGGGATGCACTGACATTGGTTTTCAATGCATGTCTGAAAATGTAAACATTGGGTAGGACATCCTTCTAGAAAAATATAAAGCTGGATTATAAGTTATTGTCAATTTAAAATATTTTTGTTATTTATTTGTATTTTATTTGTTTTTGTTATTTATTTGTATTGAAATATTTTTGTTATTTATTAATATTTTCAACACCCAAAATAATGTAAATCAGTAATTCACTTATTACAGTTTAATTGGATCGTAACAAAAAAATGCGTTAATTAGGTGACTAACTAATTCAACCATTCAACATCTTTTTACAACGTAAAGATTAAAGCAATAAAACACCCCATAACAAAACTGAAACCTCGTAACAATGTAACAAACACTCAAAGTGTGAAAAGTGCAAAACAAGCTTATTTGATACAAGAGTGTCAACTGAAAAGATGTCTGGTAATAATCTTAATTTATTCGTAATATAAACAACTTTTAAACCGAAAGTTGTTACGCAAAACAGTAAAAAATTATAAAAGTTAACTTTTTCTTGTTTTGCAGTAAAATAGATAAAAGTTATAGATATTACCTTGTTATTATTTACATTCATTTTTGGACTGATGACATAAAACTCTTTTTTTTTTTTTTTTTTTTTTTTTTTGCATTTCAATTTTTTTTATTTTATGCTGTTATTTTATTTAAAGTCTTTTGAAATTAATATATTCATAATGATTGAATTTTATTTAAAATTTTGCGTTAATTGTCTGATGAACCTATATTAAAATAAATTTTCTTAAAGTATATTTTAGCAAATATAATTTGCAATTCTGAAAATGTTTTATGAATATTTATTTTATATTTTCAAGAAAATACTAGTTTGGGTTGTAAATTTTTTTACGAAAAACCTATTATTCATTCAGGTTCAGTATTTTGTATACCGTAAAAAAGGCACTATGAACGTGTGTGTGTGTGTGTGTGTGTGTGTGTGTGTGTGTGTGTGTAAACAAATTAATTATGCTTTGTACTTATGAAGGTAATAATATATTAATATAGAAAACCAATTTATTTCAAACTATTTTAAATTGAAATTGAAAAAAAAAAGCAAAAAACAGTTGGTTACATACTAGAAACGCATTCATAACCGGACCCAACGTATCCATCTTTACAAGTGCATTTCCCATTTTCACAATAAGCATGAACATCGCAATCTCTGCATCTATCAACTTAAAAAAAATATATAAGTAATAACTTTTTCTTTTAAAAAACTTTTTTCAAAACATTTATTTATGTTTTGTTTTGTTATTTTTTAATTTTAATTTTTTTATAATCGTTTACTTGAATATTTTTATTATAATTTTTTTTTTGCGTATGTATATACATTAGGGTAACGTACTTACTAGTACAATGAGGTCCAGTATAACGTTGGGAACATATGCAATCATAACCTCCGCTCGGATGAAGTGTGCAAAGTGCATTGTTTTGACATGGGCTAGGGTTACAAGCTGTAGGTGCTTCTGTAAATATTTAATTTGAGTTTTTATAAAAATATTAAACATTGAAAACAAATGCAAACCTATAATTTCAATACAAACAAAAATATTTGATGATTTTTCATAAAAACGTTTGATGGAATGAATTGAATGTCTTGGTGAAATTTAGATCTTTGTTGATTTGCTTTTTGTTTATATAAAGTACATACTTTACATAAATACATATAGTTTTTTACTCAACTTCCTAATTTTATCTGTTGCTGTTTTTTTCTTCACATTCTATTTTTATATATAAAATTAATAAATCGACGGTGAAATGGAGTGGCAGTGATGGAAATAACGGTGCTATTACTATTTACCTGATTTGCATAGTGGTGGTAAATATGCGGGTAAGCAAACACATCCAAGAAATACGCCATCTTTTTCCATGCATGTTCCACCATTGTAACAAGGATTTATTAAACACTCTGAAACAATTATTAAGTAAAGTCCTACATAATTAAAATTTTATAAAATCCCGTTGTAAATTAAATAAAGAATTATCTGTCTTCAACTAAATACAACTAATCTTGACAAAATTAAACAAAAATTCAAAAAATGCTTACTTCTACGGTGTTGACAGTTTTTACCGTACCATTCTGGAAAGCAAATGCAAGTGTAAGCACCTTCTTCGTCATTTAGGCAAACAATGCTGTTTAAACAAGGACTGGATTCGCACGTTTTGTAATGTTTTACTAAGGGCGCTGAACTTAAAAAAGTAAATAAATAGTTATATGTATTTATTCACACTAAACATTTTTTCATTTTTATTTACTAAACATTTTACCCGACATATTAGGAAATAGTTTTAAAATAGTTTAATTAATTTGCATTCGAACCTTTGTTTTTCATGCATTTATTGTTGCTCTCATCAAAAACAAATCCAGGAGGGCATTGGCAATGGCCTCTTGCATTACACCATGACGACGGGTTGTTCGGGCTCTGGCTTTTTGGGCAGTTGCATTCTACAAAAAATAAAATGTGAATAATACTTATTGAGCACTTTAAAGATAATTACTTTACAATCACAATAACAATTACATTAGCATATTTTAATTACAGGTTACTTAACATAAAAGTATAATGGTTTATCCTCCTGCAGCTACTTGCCTTACGGAGTCACCTCATATTCCAAACCTATAAACACATACTAGTTCACTTCTTTTGGTTCTCAGAAAAAAATTTTAGGTAGCTGTACGAATTTATTTTCAAATTGTCACAAATAGATCTGTATCTGAGAGACAACTTGCCTTACTTACCTCCATTTTCGAGTAAAGTAATTTAATTACATATTTGGTTAATACCGCATATTCCACCTGGGTCTACAAAATTTCAATTTTAATCCATTGTGGTTTGACAGGAAACCAAAAAGAATAAAGTTTTTAAATCATTTTTAAGATCCAAAATTTTTAAATAAGGTGTTTTTTTCCTAAACACTTTATCACATTTTACAACTAAAGATGTTTTATCTTTGACTTGAAGGTTATGTCACATTCACAGTTTTTAACGTGGTTAATCTCACGCTTGTAAACCACAACGCGTTAACCGCTCGTTGTTTACGCCCTTGTGTCAAAGTTTTGTGCCAATTTTAGCTTTTGTTTTACGTTAAAAATATAATATTACATTGTGAAAACCGATATAACTACTTACAAGATGTCTGCTAATAATGTTTTGATTTAAAAAGAACAAATATAATGACGAACTTTGAATTGCATTGATACCAAGGTGAACAAGAAGGTATGTTTGGAAATATTTTTCGTTGGATTCTTCATTGTTTATATTAACTAGGTGTTCAATCAAAAAATGACATAAGGTAATTATTTTTATAGTGCAAGAATTTAACGCTGGTCAGATTGTGTGTGCGTACAATACTGTATTAATGTCTTAAAAGCTACATATTTTTCTTACTAAAAGTAGTTAATAGTTGTAATATTAAAAACTTTAATTTTATTACACAGACACAACACATGTATGTTTTGGTGTTTGTGTTTGTGTTTGTGTGTGTGTGTGTGTGTGTGTGTGTGTGTGTGTGTGTGTGTGTGTGTGTGTGTGTGTGTGTGTGTGTGTGGTTATTAAATATTAAGATGCTCCGAGAAGTCCTTACGGTCATATCACAGAGCACTGCAGAAGAGTAGACTAGAAAGATCACGCCTCCTTTTTTACCAATGTCGCTTATTGGGCTAGAACTCGCGTCGAACCATGGACCTCTTGGTTATGAGCCAGAACTCTAATTCATGCGCCACGCCTGCAGTATCCAATACTCTAATTGAAATTAGAGTATGCAAGACGTTTTCCAAATACTCTTTGTATTAGCTAGTCGTATATTATATTTATAATTAGCAAAATTTATTTTTCTGGCTTGACAAAACCAGATCAACTAGGAAAATATTCTCCGGCATGATCAAAAGCATTAAAAAAACATACTAAAAAGTTCCCACAAGAGAGCCATTACAGGAGGAGACATACGGCAAAAAATTTCTGGAAGTAAAATTTATTAATGCAAAATTTGACTTAAATTCACTAATGCTAAATTTTTTTTTTTTTTTTTTTTTAAAAAATTACAATAGAATAAAATGAATTTTATATACTGTATGAATATTTATTTCCTAATCCAATTAATAAAAAAGTTATGAGAAAGTAATTGGAACAAAATATATATTTTGCTTATAGTGTAAAATTTTATTTTTGGAGTAAAGGCAAGTTGGCTTTTAGGTACAGAAATATTACTTGTGGCTTACCACTTAAACTAAAAACTTTTTTACTTTTCTATCAAATTAATGAGTCAATTTTAATAATATTGATTATTAAAAGCTTTCACATACATATATAAACTTTTTTAACTCACTAAAAGTAATTTTACATAGTCAAGAAATAATTTTTGAAGTAAGCAGTTGTTTACTAATTTTTACCTCTGCATCGAGAACCTCCCCATTTTCCTTCACAAATACACATAAACGCATTTTCGCCTGCTGGTGTGCAAACACCTCTGTTGTAACATGCATTTGTTCGGCACAGACTATCTAAAAAAAAATTATTAAAAAAAGAAGAAACAAGGTGCAAAGCTAATTTTGTAAGACACAACAGAGACAGCAAAGAAAAAGCCATAAGAATTTGGCATTATGTGCATTTACCAACTACGTGCAATTAAGAGGTACCTCCGCATTTTTTGTCAACCATGTTTCCAGCACAGCTGCAAATTATAATGTTATTTTTAACCTCGCACTTTTCGTGTATACCACAGGGGTTAGGTTTGCAAGGATCAATTTCTACATAAAAAGTATTATTAATTACCTTCAAATATATACATTTTGAAAATATATTACCGATAAACTAACAAAGAACATAATATTTTTTTACGGTATTAATTTATTAGTAATAATGAAAAATAAAAAAAATTTAATTACAATCTAAATTTTAAGATCAATAAAATATAAAAAATCATTAAACACTTTTTCTTACCGGCACAATTAGGAGGTACAAAAGGGGGTTTACAGATACACTCGTATAGTAGACCTGGCTTTACCAGGCATTCGCCATCGTTCATACACGGGTTCGGTTGACATGGTTTTACTTCCATTACTTCTGTTTTGTTTTCTCCTACAAATTAACTCTTAAAACTTAAGTGAATTAACTTCTGCTTGATTTTATAGTTCTAACAAATCCAATAATTTTTTTGCTTTTTATACAAAAAGTAAAATTGACATTGGTTTTTTGCAATATATTTGTAGTTTAGATATCAAGGATTGGAGACCAAAATTTAAGGCAAAGTTTTTAGAGATTTTTAATTTTATGTTTTGATCTTACAAATTTCTTACAAAAAATTTCATCTTTTTTAATAATTTTTAAATGTTTTATATTAATGAACGATTTGTTATAATTAAAGAAAAATAAAGTTTTACAAATATAAAATTATAAATCATTTATTGGGATACTTGATTATAACTTTTTTTATTTGCACATTTTTTTGTGCGATTTTTTTCAAATATGCGATAAAAAGCAATAAACAATCGCATTAAACCGTACTCAATTTTTTGAAAAAAATTAATTCACAATACATCACCCAGTCATTCGTTCAGTAAAAAGGACAGCATCGCGATTATCTACCAAATAACGCAATAATAACTAAGCGCCCTCAACTTTTTCACTAAATATTAAACTTTAACGCATCACCGAAATTAATCGAATTGCTGTAATGCCAGTGCGTTATACTAGCTGTATATTAAATTTAGGCCATTCAGTCACACAGATTGTTTTGCTCACCCTTTTGAATTGAAAACCTGTGTAATAAATTAATAATGAGATATTTTTAGAAAAGTTCATTTTTAACTTGCTGTTAACATTAATTGAAATAAGTAAAAACTTATATATATACATATATATATATATATATATATATATATATATATATATATATATATATATATATATATATATATATATATATATATATATATATATATATATATATATATATATATATATATATATATATATATATATATATATATATATATATATATATATATATATATATATATATATATATATATATATATATATATATATATATATATATATATATATATATATATATATATTCTTTATTAATTTCTTTTAATTTATTATTATTTTCATAAATGACGATGACGTGTGTCTGACGGGACAAACTGGTTATTAGTGCTGATCGTCATCGAAACGCCAGTAGGTATAGACGCCAGTAATAATAGACACGACTCTGAGAAGATGTTTATTACTTAATTACGACACAAATTATGTTTACACATTAGCATTAATGTTTGTTTTTTTACATTCTGAATTAATAAAGAATATATATATATATATATATATATATATATATATATATATATATATATATATATATATATATATATTCTTTATTAATTTCTTTGTCTGCTGTTTCAAAAAATAAATAACATTGTTGTACTTTTTTGTCCGCGTTTGGTAATTTGATTAAGTCTATGTGTTACTGTTTTTCCCTCTAACAACAGCTGAAATTTTTAATTTAAAGTTTATATTTAACTGTTTCCTAGTAAGCACAGATCGTTTTTAAAACGTTTAAAAAACGTTAAAAACCGTTAAAAACCGTTTTAAAAACGTTTTAAAAACGTTTTAAAAACGTTCTGTGCTTACTGGGTTCTATCACTATTCATATCCTAATTTTAAATTGAATTATTAGTAAAATTCAAAGTCAACACCCCAGAAAAAAAATGTTTACTGGATAAATTAGAATAATAAACAATAATAAAATGATTTTTATAACAGTTATAGAAGTTTAATGTATCTTATTAACACTCAACATTAGATTTTTATCTTTAAGAATTATACAGAAATTGTAAAACTGCGCAATAAATAACGCATGGAAATAACTCATGCTCCACTGCTTAAAAAGAAATTAACTAAATTATAATCTAAAGAAATGTCTACAGATAAGTATTTTAAAGTATCTAAAACAATAATGTTTTATTAATGAAAATGGAGTACACTAAGCCAGTTTGACAATGCTCTTAGCAGTGAAAATAATACTTTTTTGAAATTTACTTAGTTTATTTAGATAAAATAATACCAACTAAATTTGTGATTATAAAAGGGTATCAAAGTCGTTTGAAAATAACTTAACACGCGTTTATTGCTGAAAGAAATATTGTAACTTTGTTTAACTATCATAAATTTGGGAACTTAGATAATATACTGATTTTCGAATTTTACCGAAGTTAATGATAGTTAAACAAAATTTAACCATTTTTTGAAAGTCATTAAATGTACTAATAGTGTTTTGTTTGTTTGTTTTTATCCGATTCACCCATATGCATTTTCCATAAATTTAAAACTATGAACATTTAACCTAATATTATAATATTCAAAAATTATGTTAGTTTATTCATTTGCTTTGAAAAACTTCAAGATAACAGCAATAAACAATGTATAGTATGCACTGTGTTTACTGTATACACGATTGTTATTTTATTAAAGCATAGTTGTTAAATAAATTACTATAAGAAAAAGGAAAATAAGTTTCTTAAGCTCCACAAGGTTTTATTGTTGAAGATATTTATTAGTTATTAGAGATAATGATCTCTAATAGAGTAAACAATCTGTTGAATATTTATAATTACTAATGGTTAAAATTATGTAACTATGTAGATATTATTGAAGTTTTACGCTTACTCGAGTTAATGGTATCATAAGGATTAGTAAATAATTTACAAGTTAATTTTTATACCATTCTGTGGAAGATAAAACCACGGAAGTATAAAACAGACGGAATTTCATCAAGCGGCAAACATTAAAGCTATTTCAAGTCGTCTCGGGAGTTGGCTCGTAACCGACAATAAAAAAAAACGAGTTTCGCTAGACAAAAAAACAACAAAAATTCGCTGAAATGATTTTTATTAAAACATTAAATAAAAAATTATTCAAAGGAAACGCTATATAGTTTTAACCATTAATGGTTAAAACTAATAAGTAATTAAGATTATTCAACAGAATGTCTACTAAAACTCGGTAGCTAGATAGAAATACTTTATTTTTAAAGCTTATGTTTTTTATTTTATTTATTTTTTCCAATTTATTTGAAAAGGTCAGCTTTTCTTACTCTGAATCATAACATTTGATTAAAAAGTTAACTAAAACATTTTTTAAAAAATCAGAAAAAAATGTTTTTCAAATAACTAAAGGTAAAACTTTTATTAGTTCTGTATCATAATTCCATTCATGCTTGTAATACTCCATTCTTTTAATATGAAGTTTAGGAAAAGGTTATTTCCTGTTTCATTGTCGCCATTTTTCATGTTTATACTTGAATGTTATTGGCGAACCTTCAAAATTCTATATTTTTAAGTTATTTCAGTTTAAGTCAGGAGTCCCTGACTTCAAAATGATTCCGAAAATAAAAGTCACACGAAGATTATTTCTTCCTAGATTTTGATATCCAGAAGCTTTAAATATGAAAAGAAGCTTATGGACTTCTTTTTTGCTAAAAAATTAAGAGTTTTATGTTAAAAGAACAATCAATTTTTTAACCCGGAGTTCTAGGTATAATGGCGGCAAGGAATTCAGGACTCCAGGACTCGGATTGAAAAAAAATAAGTTTTAAGTCATGGATTTCAAATCTCATAGATTTTTTTCTTATAGCAGATTATAAGTAACCAACATGTTTAAAACTCCTAGATATTGGAGACCAGGAAAACATAGAGGCACTTTCTTTCGTTTACGAAACAAAATATTACAAGCATAGTCACAAAGCATTTGAACTTCCATCTGTTTTATACTTCCGTGATAAGACTTGTGCACATATTCAGAAAATTTACTGAGAAATTATTTTTTTCAACAATGACGTCTGTTAAAATTAAGCTACTTCCATTACATCATTATTCAAAATCTCTATCAGCACATTAACAACTTATAGAAAAGCTACTATTACCGAGTATGTTTGTTATAACAGTTTTTCCGCTTTGTAATGTTAATAAAATTTTTCAAGCAGACCTAATAGTAAAAATTAATTCAACAAATCATATTTCCAGGTGGAAAGGCTCTTCGATTAGTAATCGATAAATGCCGAGGAAATAAAAAATGATTTCAACATTTTTAGGGGGTGTTTAAATAATACGTGACAATCTTAGGGGAAGGGGTTATGGAAAGTGTCACCAGACATCACATGGGGGATTGGGGTGGTTTGCTAAAGTGTAACGTGATAAACAAAATTTTATCCCTGCGTAATTTGTTTAAATTGAAAACTCGGAGATATTTATATACAATCAAGGAGGTTTATTAAACCTCCTTTTATACAATACGGAAATTTTCAAGAAAAATAATATGCAACGGCTTCTTAAGTGGCGTGCGTTTATTGTTTGTCAGAGTCGTAACAAATGAAAATAAAAAATTTAAATTAGTTTTTTTATACGTTCCCTTTAAATGATCAGAAGAGATTTATCTAAATTTACGCCATATAAATTACTTGTGGCAATCGCAAGCATAAAAGGAAATTTTGATTTTGAAGAAAATTTGAAAACCAGATAGCGGGCGATTATTTAAAAGCAATTTATATCACCATTAAAAATCTTATTTCATTTTTTTAACGATTATTATATTTGAGTGAATAGAATAAAAATTTTAGTATTAATATTTGCTTAAAACCATATCTTTAAACATAATAGATATTATTACTCTTGATCGCCATCTTGATCGTCATCTGATCAATTTTTTAATTTTGCAATACTTTTATTTTTAATGTTGTTATTATTATTATTACTTTTAATATTTTGTGTCACTCTATTTATTTTTATAATATATCAAGTTATTTATATTTTTATTATATTTATATTTTTATCTTACTATTAAGTTATTTAACGTAATGGTTGTAAGAAAAATAAATTTTTTGTCGTTGTTGTTGTTGTTTTTATAGATTAAAAATGTCTACTGAAAAGGAACGACTTTACAAATCTATTTATGAAGGATATAAAAGCATTTGTAAACAAACCAAAGCAAAAGTCTTGAGAAGAAACAAATAAAATCTGGTGTGAGATTAAAACAAAAAGCAAAGCATTATCCAAATTAAATGTAGAAGTTTAAAAAAAGTT